AAAGCAGTAATCAGAGCAAAGGGTGGCTATTTTGAAGAAACTAGAATATAAAACATGTTTTCAGTTATTTCACCTTTTTTTGTTAAGTACATAACTCCACGTGTTCATTCATAGTTTTGATGCCTTCAGTGAGAATCTACAATGTAAATAGTCATGAAAATAAAGAAAACGCATTGAATGAGAAGGTGTGTCCAAACTTTTGGCCTGTACTGTATATGTAAAAAAAAAACAGCTTTTAGAACATAAAACTGAAGATCATCTTGTCAGGAGGAGGAAGAGGAGGAGGAGGAGGAGGACCCCAGCTCCACAGCCAGCGCGCAGCCAGACCAGACGGCCCAGGTGCACCCACGGGACCAGCCCTTCCTGCACCTTCAGGTGGGGGGGTTCAGGATGCTGGAGAGGGAGCTGGGCTCTCTAACCTCCCGGGTTAAAATAAAATAAATTGAATAATTTCACTTTGTTGACAGCGTTTCTCTCGTGCACGCGCGTTCTCTCTTTCTCTCTCGCAGTCTCACTCTGTTTCTTTGTTTTGACTTTTCTAAGATGACAGATGCTGAATATATACTCCCTATCTGATGCTGTGGCTGTTTGTGACTGGCTGAGAGCGGATGTAAACTTATTACTTTGCAGCTGTGTTAATCAAATCAGGTTGGGTTTCCATTACGCGTGCCAAACAGTGCCAATCCCCTTTGATCTGACATCAGATGTGACGGGACAGTCGATATAGAGATACATTTATCGTCTCCTCAGCTGTAAAACGCTCACTCTTTCCAGTTGGTAGCTCCGCCATCTAACTAGCTCTCTGCCGTGCGCTCCAATCGCGCCACTTTTAAAGGGAATGAGAGGTGACACTCTGATTGGCTTATTGAATGATATGCCCAAAACACACCCATGACTAATTCACAGAGTAAGTCCAACCCTTTTAGACTCTCCGCCATGGTGCACAGTCTGAAAACACGCTGTCTAACTAGCAAATGACTGGGACACGCCCATGCGCTGAATGCCTGGTGCTTTGCGTTTTAGCCCATCTAAATAAGGCCCTAAATGTGTCATGAAAATGTAATCTAGATTATATTATAGATTATGGTATAAGATTTACAGTGATATATGATTTCATGATGGTTTGTCTAGGTTACCTTCTTTTATACAGGCTCTGTGTAAAAAAAGCAAGTGTGTGTGTGTGTGTGTGTGTGTGTAAGACTGTGTAAGTTTTAAACCTGAGACATCTGAAGGTTTGAATCTGTTAATTAAAATAGTAGAAACAGAGATCCCAAAAACAGATGATGATGATGCACTAATCAGACACAGGCAGAAACTCATAAAGGTCTAATCAGCTAATTAGCATCATCTGGGTTTCTGTGTGAAAGTGGTGAATCACTAGTTATAACAGCAAGGGGGAGCCAGGATGACATTCATTTGAAAAAAACATCCAAATTTGAAAACTTAAGTTGTATTGCAGAATTGTTTTCAATTTCAGCATCCCAAAACTTTGCTGAAGACATGTCATTGTATAAGGCAAAAAAGCAACTGAGAAAACACAATTTTAAAAATCTCTCCATTTGGGTTTTATTTCAAAACTCAATGATCTGAGGTAACATTACAGTTAATGGGACAGGAAAGGGATCCCGTGTTGCTGAAAATTCAAAAACAGGAAATCCTATTGCTTTAATGGACACATCATCCAAAAGAAGACCAAATAGACAGAGACAAATTAGAGTGGGTGATATCACCAGTGATATTACCCAGTCTAAGCAGGTCAATACACACCCAGAAACTCAGAAAATGTCTGAAAAAAGCATTAAATGTGAACTGGGATTTTAACAGTTGTGGAGTAGGTTTGAGAAGATTTGAAGATTCTCTCCATATGGTTCAAAAGCTTCTAAATTTTAATAAATTTAAATGGTAGAAAAGAGTTAAATGCATGCATACATTTCCTTAATGAACTGTACATGTTGATATTTGAACAGTTAGCTGAGAGTATGCAAAAGTCCAAAAACATATGAAAGAATCCTGAAATTATAAGAGAATCAAGATTTGCATCACAATAGTGTGAATGTTTAATCAGCATTGAGGTACACACTTTTCAATGTAAATGATATAACACACAGATTATATTATACGCCTGCTCTACCTAAAGGATGCTTGCACCAGACACTGCAAAAATAAGGCCAGGAGAATCGTTAAATAGGCTAACCACCTGGATAACTGCCTTTTCTCCCCGTTGAGGTCAAATCCAAGGAAGGTACCCATTATATTAGGCCAGCATTGAGAGGCTTGGGAAAAGTTTCACCCTCAAGCAGCAAGGATCCTAAATGAAGACCCTGCCTCAGACCCTGACTTCTCAGGACTTGCCTTACTCTCTGGAGGTACTTGGTTGTGGTCGACTTCCTTGCAGCCTCCTCATGATTTCCATTAGCCTGTGGGATCCCAAGGTACTTGTAGCTGTTCTGGATATCTCCTATGTTGCCATCTGGTAGGTCAACTCCCTCAGTTCTGATCATCTTACTTCTCTTTGATACCATCCAGCCACACTTGTCTAATCCGAATGACATCCCTATGTCCTTGCTGTAGATCCTGGTGGTGTGGATCAGTGAGTCGATTTCTCATTCATTCTTGGGGTACAGCTTGATGTCATCCATGTAGAGCAGGTGGCTGATTGTTACTCCACTTCGGAATTGGTATCCATATGTGGTCAGACACAGTATTTAAGACCAATGCAATGTCTATATAAACCTAAGGGTCATTAAAGGGCCCAACTTCATACGTGTTGACACAATACAACTTCATAGGTTCAAGGAGAGCAGGACACGTGCATTCAGTTCACCATTAAAATGTTTATTTAATAATAAGATATTTATTGCTGGAGACCTGAGAAAAGAGGAAAACAACTAAGTTTAGGACACATTTTTATTTAACTATAATAAATAGATAAAACAATTACTATCTAAAAAGTACAAACTCCAATGTAAAATAGAACACCAGTATTTGTTGGAAGCAAGTAAATAGGCAGGGTTCTTACCACGGGGAGATTCTGCCTATAAAAAAATAAATAAAACAAAAACAAGAGGTGAATCTCAGTTTGTTCAGTTCACAATGGTGTAAAAGTCATAACTACATACAGTTATTGAAAGTGTAGCAGTTAATTGTCACAATACCTGGACACAAATCCTGGACAGTTCACAGTAAAGCTAAGGTTGAATCCAATTCAATATGGTAGCCGAGTTAGGCTAGACGATGTAGATGGACTGGTTCAGGCAAAGCAGCAGTCTGGCACTTAGTCTGCAATAAGGGAGACATGGTCTAAATCGTTTCAACTGGCAAAAATAATTTGGAGGGACTGACCCTCCTACATTACCCCACCAGTTTAGGTTACCTTGCTCACTCTGAGGCCCTGATTAAAAGAGACACTGGGAACATCAGCAGGCTGACTACTCTGGCTTCTACAAGGAGGAGACAAGGGCTGAATTCCCTAAAGGATTAAATTATTATATTATTAATGATAGGCCTACAGACAACCAAACAATTGCAGTTATATATGGTCACCTCTTCAACATGGGGTTACAGAGCATACATCAGCCAAGATCAGTCAGGACACAGCTCTACTACACCTAAATATGAGAATAAATATTAGATTTCAACTCAAACAATACAAACAATGTTTCTCCCAGGATCTCCCTTACCTACCCAAACCAGGCAATCCTACTACACATCTACCAGATTCAGACAAAGAGGTACTAATTGCCCACACCTGTCCTTATAAAGGCAGGAAACTCTCTGACCCTACCTACAGACACCCTACATGTCAGCCCTCACACATAGCCACTCGTGTTGATCTGACTGAGGGGATTCGTGCCTATGCAGAACAGCAGTTGTGACAGTGCATCCCCTTGGTATATGCCGCATTTGATGTTGACTTGGGCAAACAGCCTTGAATTGGCCTCTAGGGTCATCTTCCACATTCCCATGGAGTTCTTTAAGAAGGCAGTTAGTGATCTGTTGATCTTGTATAGTTCCAGACATTCCAGTATCCATGTGTGTGGCATTAAGTCGTAGGCTTTCTTGTAGTCAATCCAGGCAGTGCACAGGTTGGTCTTCCCGCTCTTGCAGTCTTGGGCGATTGCTCTGTCGACCAGTAGCTGGTGCCTGGCTCTTCTGGTGTTACTGCCAATTCCTTTCTGTGCCTTGCTCATGTATTGGACCATATGCCTAGTTATCTTAGCTGCTATGATGCCTGACAGGAGCTTCCATGTTGTATGAGATGGTTCCCTTCTGGGGGTCTTTCATAATCAGGACTGTCCTGCCCAGTGTCAATCATTTTGGGTGGGTCCCATCCCTTAGCAGCTGTGTTGCTAGGTGTTCGTGGAGTGCAGTTAGCTTCTTCAGCCAGTATGGATTATATTAGGGTCCGGTGCTGTCCAGCTCTTCATCTTTGACACTCTTTCCTGGATGTCTGCCATTGAGATGGTTACTGGTTCCTGTTCAGGGAGGTTGCTGTGGCCAGTTCTTAGGTCCATGAGCCATTGGCATCAGTTTTGTGTGATGCCTCTCTTTCCCATATGCCCTTCCAGTATGTTTCCATCTCTTTTTGGGTCTGACCTGCTGTTATTTCCCTGCCACTGAGAGAACACCTTGGCTGGTTCAGTGGAGAACATCCTGTTCCTGGCTTCTACTTCTTTGGTGTATCTCTTCAGCTGGGTGGCCAGAGTTTTTAGTCTTTGTTTGGCAGTTTTGAGTGCCTCAGGAATGGAGAGCTTTTTGTATTTCCTTGATACCCCTTTATTCACCATGTTACCTCTGTGTAGCTCTGCTAGTTGGCTAAATTCTCTCTGTGTTGCCTTTATCTTGGCCTCCAACCGTCTCTTCCATGGAAGGTACTGGTTCTTATGTACCATGTCCGTCTTGTATCCAAGCATCTCCATGATTACTGTTGCTGTACTGTGCTTGTTGGTCTCAGTGATGGTCCTTGTAGGGATGGGGCAGCAGTAGCTCAGTCCATAGGGACTTGGCTTGGGAACCGGAGGGGTGCCGGTTCAAGCCCCCGCCCGGACCAAATATATATACACAATTCTCCTGTCACGCCTAGAGCATTGTGTAGGTATAAAAGGCACTGTTTTAAGTTGGTTTAAATCATACTATTTAAAACGGTGTATTTGCCGTTAAAGATTTCTTTCCAAAGATTCCCTTCAGGCCGTGCTAAACTGCGTAAGTGACATTAAAACATGGATGGACTTAAACTTCTTAAAACTGAATGAAAACAAGACAGAGGTTGTCCTGTTTGGTCGCCCTGATCTGGTTCAGGTCCTTGCCAGCTCCATGGGCCCACTAGCACCTTACATGGGATCCCACACTAGGCATCGTGGTGTGATTATTGGTGGTGCTTTTAAGCTAGACAAACAGGTCAGCTCAGTGGTCAAGTCTAGCTTTTTTTCAGCAGAGGCTTCTAGCCAAAGGTAAACCCTATCTAAGCCAGAAAGACCTTGAAAAAGTTATCCATGCTTTTATTACCTCTCGGTTAGATTATTGCAACACCCTGTATGTCGGCATTGAGCAGTCAGAGCTTAACTGCCTGCAGCTTGTTCAAAATGCAGCAGCTCGTCTCCTAACTGGGACAAAGAAACACGAGCATATAACTCCAGTGCTCTCTTCACTTCACTGGCTTCCGGTTAGGTACAGGATTGATTTTAAGATTCTTTTATTTGTTTTTAAGTCTCTGAATGGGCTGGCTCCGGAATACCTATCTGACCTTATTAAGTTGCATCAGCCCTCCAGAGCCCTCAGATCAGCGAATCAGATGGTCTTGGATGTTTCTCGATCACTCTTAAAAACTAGAGGGGATCGAGCTTTTGCAGTCGCGACTCCCACTCTGTGGAACGCATTACCATAGACAGTACAGGCCAAAAGTTTGGACACACCTTCTCATTCAATGCGTTTTCTTTATTTTCATGACTATTTACATTGTAGATTCTCATTGAAGGCATCAAAACTATGAATGAACACATGTGGAGTTATGTACTTAACAAAAAAAGGTGAAATAACTGAAAACATGTTTTATATTCTAGTTTCTTCAAAATAGCCACCCTTTGCTCTGATTACTGCTTTGCACACTCTTGGCATTCTCTCCATGAGCTTCAAGAGGTAGTCACCTGAAATGGTTTTCCAACAGTCTTGAAGGAGTTCCCAGAGGTGTTTAGCACTTGTTGGCCCCTTTGCCTTCACTCTGCGGTCCAGCTCACCCCAAACCATCTCGATTGGGTTCAGGTCCGGTGACTGTGGAGGCCAGGTCATCTGCCGCAGCACTCCATCACTCTCCTTCTTGGTCAAATAGCCCTTACACAGCCTGGAGGTGTGTTTGGGGTCATTGTCCTGTTGAAAAATAAATGATCGTCCAACTAAACGCAAACCGGATGGGATGGCATGTCGCTGCAGGATGCTGTGGTAGCCATGCTGGTTCAGTGTGCCTTCAATTTTGAATAAATCCCCAACAGTGTCACCAGCAAAACACCCCCACACCATCACACCTCCTCCTCCATGCTTCACAGTGGGAACCAGGCATGTGGAATCCATCCGTTCACCTTTTCTGCGTCTCACAAAGACACGGCGGTTGGAACCAAAGATCTCAAATTTGGACTCATCAGACCAAAGCACAGATTTCCACTGGTCTAATGTCCATTCCTTGTGTTTCTTGGCCCAAACAAATCTCTTCTGCTTGTTGCCTCTCCTTAGCAGTGGTTTCCTAGCAGCTATTTGACCATGAAGGCCTGATTGGCGCAGTCTCCTCTTAACAGTTGTTCTAGAGATGGGTCTGCTGCTAGAACTCTGTGTGGCATTCATCTGGTCTCTGATCTGAGCTGCTGTTAACTTGCGATTTCTGAGGCTGGTGACTCGGATGAACTTATCCTCAGAAGCAGAGGTGACTCTTGGTCTTCCTTTCCTGGGTCGGTCCTCATGTGTGCCAGTTTCGTTGTAGCGCTTGATGGTTTTTGCGACTCCACTTGGGGACACATTTAAAGTTTTTGCAATTTTCCGGACTGACTGACCTTCATTTCTTAAAGTAATGATGGCCACTCGTTTTTCTTTAGTTAGCTGATTGGTTCTTGCCATAATATGAATTTTAACAGTTGTCCAATAGGGCTGTCGGCTGTGTATTAACCTGACTTCTGCACAACACAACTGATGGTCCCAACCCCATTGATAAAGCAAGAAATTCCACTAATTAACCCTGATAAGGCACACCTGTGAAGTGGAAACCATTTCAGGTGACTACCTCTTGAAGCTCATGGAGAGAATGCCAAGAGTGTGCAAAGCAGTAATCAGAGCAAAGGGTGGCTATTTTGAAGAAACTAGAATATAAAACATGTTTTCAGTTATTTCACCTTTTTTTGTTAAGTACATAACTCCACATGTGTTCATTCATAGTTTTGATGCCTTCAGTGAGAATCTACAATGTAAATAGTCATGAAAATAAAGAAAACGCATTGAATGAGAAGGTGTGTCCAAACTTTTGGCCTGTACTGTATGTATGTATGTGTGTGTATATATATACACACTGTAAATACTAACATCAAGCTTTATGACAAATACTGAGTTGACCTAACTCAGTTTTTATCAACTTGTTATTAACACTAATATTAAATAAGTTACTTGTAGTTTGGGGTCGAAAAAGCTGCAAAACTCAGTGTACTTCAGTTGGGTTCACTTAAGCAAACCAAGAACTTTGAAGTCATGCTTTTTTCTGTGGTGAAATGTAACTAAGTATATTACTCTTATACTTAAGTATCCCACAAATTAGAGGTACTTTACATGAGTAGCCTATTCTCTGTTTGTCACTTTCTACTTGTAGCTATTCCACCACATTTCATGGGAAAATGTAATTTTTTAAGTAGGCCTATACGTAGGCAATAGTGTTATTAACAAATTAAACATTTTGCATGCACGATACTGTAAGAACTTATCACGTTTCATCATAAACTGAACTATGTGCACCTAAAATGATTAGTTAATTAATTAGTCAAAAAGAATTTGCATCTATTTTTGCCCTTTTATAGGCTGATAATCTTAGTATATAATGACAAAAACTCTTTTTGTGGGTGTGTCTGTCTGTGTCTCTGTTCCACGTTTTTCTCCTGATTGACTTGGTCAATCCATGTGAAATTTGGCACAGTGGTAGAGGGTCATGGGAGGATGCTAATGAAGCAATATTACATCAGTTGGCCAAAGGGGGGCGCTATAGCAACCGATTGAAATTGCAAACTTTGAATGGGCATACGGTATCTCATGCCCCGTATGTTGTAGAGACATGAAACTTTGCACAGAGATGCCTCTCCTCATGAGGAACAAATTTGCCTCAAGAACCCATAACTTCCGTTTGACCGATCTGCATGAAACTCGGTGAACATAATCTATGGACCAATATCGAAAGTTCCCCCTTGGCAAGTTGGAAAACTCACTAAAACTGAGCTTCTATAAGGCAATGAATATTGCGGAGGGCGTGGCTCATCACATAAAGGTGTATAACATCTCAAGGGGTTCACCGATCACCACGCAACTTTGTAGGCATATGACCACACATACTCTGAGGGGATCCTTCTATTATTGACCTAATCAAACAAAATGGGGGCGCTAGAGAGCTAATTTCTTATCTAGGCCTAACCGCCATATTGATTTATTGATTTATTTTTAGATATGTTTTTGGGCATTTTGCCTTTAATGGATGGGACAGCCAAGTGTGAAAAGGGGGGGGAGAGAGAGAGAGAGAGAGAGAGAGGGGATGACATGCAGCAAAGGGCCACAGGCTGGACTCGAACCTGGCAACAGTCTTGTACATGGGGTCCTGCTCTATCCACTAAGCCACCGCCGCCCCGCCATATCGATTATTACTAAACTTGGTAGATATGTAGAACAGGACACCTCAAGNTAAGCCACCGCCGCCCCGCCATATCGATTATTACTAAACTTGGTAGATATGTAGAACAGGACACCTCAAGGTGACTGGAGAAATTTAACTCTAATTGGCAACTGGGTGGCGCTATATTTACAGAAAAATGTTTAAAAATGGCTAAAATGCGACCGATCGCTGTGGCTCCCCCTGTGGCTGAATGTTTGTTTGTTTTTTCTAATTTTTGGTATGACTAAGTCATGGTATGGTATGCTGTACATAATCACAGAAAAAGTCAGTGTGTC